TATATATAAATATATATATAAATTTATTTTAATTGCAATGTTTTACAATAGTATTTTACTTGTGGTTCTTGATCAGTGTGTGTGCAACTATACAGAAAATCATTTGGTGGAGTTTTGTTTAGCAGCCTTTTTCTGCTGTAGATCTGTAGTATTACTTAAAAACAAGCATACAGTCTGAGTTGTTCTTTCTCCATCATATTGCTCTTGGAAACTCATTAACAAAAACCTTTTTAATCTGGAGATAATCTGGGTTATTTGAAATTGACCATGGACAAAGAATTCTAATAAAAAACACCCACTGTCTTATTGATCGAGAGAATGAAGGAATCTACTGCACCCTTGAAAGGGCATTTCATCAATGTTGTAAGTATTTTCTTCCTTTTCCGAGTTGAAAAATTGTCACTCAGCTTATAATCTCTAGGCTTCCGCGACCAGCGTCATGTGGGTGATCTGGGCTGTCCGGGTGACGCCGTGTCGAAGGCTGAGTTGCCGACGCGGCGTCACCCGGACAGCCCAGATCACCCAATCTTGACACTTAATCTCATTATCATTAAATGTATCATTAATTGGAATTCATTAACTTTGCTCAGGATTTTCAACGACATGTAGCTAAACTATTTGCTCGTAATAGACATATGTTTGTATTGCCAATTTTAGTGGATATGAACTGAATTTCTGATAGTAAAATACGTAACTCACTGTATTAGTATTTTAAATATTTAAAAATATTCCCGGTTTAAAGTTCTCTAGCGATAGATGCAGGCTTTAGGATAACAAAGTTCTTGACTAAACAAAATAATGGTTTTCAACACGTATTTGAAATTTGTATTTATTGCAAAAAGGTACCCAAGGAAGTTATTAACAAATAATGTTGTGAGAATTAAGTTGCAGGCAATATTTCGATTAACTTAACAACAGTTTTATTCTTTTCCATCATCGTTTCCATCTATTGACATGCACCAAGTTAATTTGCAAGAAATAAATGTGAGGTTGTGATTTTCTTGGTTATTGTGTTCTATTAAATTGAAGCTTGCATATTTATGCCATATGCTAAATTTTGCTACCATAAAAAGATCTATAAAAAGGCATAATTGCTTTTACTCGGACTTTGTGGAATAATCAACCTACATATGAATAGGTCTATTTTGTACATTCTGATAATGCAACAAATCATTTCTGTAAGTAAACCAGCGAGACTCTTCCACTCTACACTTTTATACTAATGAAACTTTCAGAATAGTTTCCCTTATATAGAGAATTGATTTGAATGTGACCACAAAATACAAATAACAGATAATATCAATATAGATCTACATGAGAACAGCTAATAATATGATTTACAGCAAAATCAATTATTGTAAGGAAAGTTTTCTCAAAAACAACAACAACAAAATCCAACAACCAAATCAACACATTAAAAACAAAATTTCAAGAAAGTATCAGTTGCTTTGAAAATATTTAATGTGTTTCTCCTTAAAAACTGGCAAATCTCTTTATCTCCAAAGCATTGCCCAAGAAAAATTACTAACTCAATAATAATGTAATAAACTAATAAGCAAATAATTTGTAACCCACATTGCTGTATAAACCAGTGGTACTACAACAACAGCTCTCTTCTTACATAATTTGTAACTGTTATGTATTTTAATACTAAAATTATTATACATTTGAACTATTAAAAACATTTACGTGGCCAGAGAAGGGTTAGTTCACTTGAGATTGCCTTAAGATTAAGATTTGTACCTCTGCAAATGTTGCCAACCAGAAAAAAGGTTTGCCTTAGCGGGAACTGAATTTGAGCTTATTATGTTTCTGCATCTGATGCTAACTTCTACACCATCATAATAGCTGAACAGTTCAATCGTAATCCAACAAAATGTAGGCATCTTTAAATTTTGAAAATTCAAAATATTTAATGAAAATGGCATTTATGCCATAGAATTCACTACAATTTTTACAATGACAAAAAATGTAGAGATACAGTGATACTCCGAAAGTTTCTACTTATATGTTTTTCACTAATAGTTTACTTATAGTCCTGGATAAATTCCTATAATTCCCATGCTAAATTATTTCAGTTATGCGTTTTATTTTTCTACGTTTTTCACACATATACATCCATAATAAAAATCCCTTTAAGACCTTATAATGTTCAATGTTCCTGGTGAAGTGCGCGGTGACTTGCGCCAAGAGCTCAGAACTCTCATATTACTTGAGTTGGCATGGTCTAGAGCACTCCCACGGAGTGACTTGTCGCTCTGCCTCTGAGGTGTCTTCTCACTAGTGAAACTTGTAATATAGAAGCTCCACTCGACCTAGCTCAGGTGTGAAGACCATGTCAGCCCACGGGGTGATAGCACAAAGTCAGCTCCCAAGCCATCTCCAGCAGCGAAATTTTGAAAGATTTCAGAGCCAGGCTCTCTGAAGACATGAGGAGGGGACAGCTAGCTCTGAGGGAAGGCATACCCGGGAGACAGTAACAATGTAGATGACCAAGTGAGGAAATTTGTGCACTGACTGACCCACTCTCCAAAGGCCCTTCAGTCTAATACTATGCAGGATCCTCTGGGCACATGTAGCTAATGAAACTAATCACTTTTCCGTGCGACACAGCAATGTCATCAGACTATGGGGCTGTGGCAGTTGTGCGCTTCCTGGCGCACACATAGAGCATCATGCTTTGATCCGCAGCAACATCACGCTTGAAACTGAGACCGCACAAGGTCATCAGGAAAGTCCTCACTGCATATCCGCTACTGCCACCTAAGGAAGACTTCTTTAATGACAACCTTCAACCAATGATATTTCTTCCAAGCTGACCAGCCTTGTAATTTGTGGTGCTGAGGCTTGGTGTTTACATCTAAATGTAGTTCATGTTCTATGTGGTTTTGCATCCACGATATTAAATGAAAAAGAGTGTTAGGAAAAGGCAACCCCTTTCAATATCAGATAAAATAAAAATTTTAGAAGCTGTTAGGGAGAGTGGCAATAAAAAAAGTAATTATTGCTACGGAACTGGGAAAACGATAATGAAAAAATATTGAGTTTTTATTTTGCTTCTATTTCATTTACACGTGTTTCTCACTTATAAATTTTTTTCCTTCAGTCCCCTGAAAAGCGTATAAGAGAAGTTTTACTGCACATGTTAAATTTTGCATTTTTTGCATGCAAAAAGTCGATATTTGAAGCAAAGTGAAAATACATTCTCGACTTTTTCAGTCCTTTCGAGTTATCGTATTTTATACCTGTGGATCTGGCAATGCTTCTCTTTTGCAGTGTATTACACATCACACACTACTTGTAACGTGAATGTTAATCACTTTTTATGCTATGTTGTGCAAAAATGCTAATAGATGAGACTTTCTCCAAAGTATCGGTTTGTTCTATGTACTGGTTTGAACATGGTTGTCAAAAATCACATTGTTAAAACTGTCTACTTCAAAATTGGCACATGTTTGCTTTGACACTATCTCACAGAAATTGTCCACGATTCAATTAATAATTCCAGTCGATATTTCATAATCTCATGGGCAAAATACTTGTATGCATTGAAGAGTTGCTTAATCCTTGACTGTTCATAGAGTTCACAAGCAGTTAAGGTCGTCATAAATGAATAAATCACTAACAACACCCTCACATGTCTGAATTCAAACCCCTCTTGAAACACTCCCATTACTAATAAGAACGAAGTGTGAAAATTTCAGCTACATTGTTCAAGTACTTCTTGCATGTATGTGCAACACATCCATGGACATTTCTTTTATTTATAGATGTGGAAAAATACAATGAAATCAAAGATACACAACAATTTCCTATTGAAAATTTTGAGTTTTAACTAGTTCCAAATTTTATTTACATTTTCCTTTATTAAAAGATACAATTCAAAGTTTCAGTTTGAAAGAAAAAAAGAAGAGAAAATGCGACCAAATTATTTTTTCAATAACTAATCATCAGGTGATTTATTAACGTAAAGCAATAGATACCTTTAAATTAAAATGAACCTTGACAAACTATCATATTTTCTCATTTTCGAATTTACAGACTTACACAGTACTACAAGGTTGAGAAATACATATCGAATGTGATAACTATCAGAGAAACAGATTACATTTGTTTTCCAATGCAACTGATTAACTACCCAAAGAGAAACAAAAGAGGGGCACCTGTGAGATTGGAAGTGGAGCCCTTCTTTGACCGGCTAGGGCTCAGACCACCTTCTTGGAGTTCCTGTACGCTGCCACTATCCACATGAATTGTCTTGGGTCGCGGTCGCATTGTTGACGACTTGTTGCGCAATTTTGGTACTGGTTTTGCTACAGTCATCTCCGGCTTTTCAGGAAGTAATTTGCCCTGCACCACAATTCAGAATTAGAGAGAAAGCAAGGGCACTAGAAGTCAATATTACAAAAATTTCATTGAATTATAGTATGCATACTTTAGATTTAAATCGTTACCAAATGGCATCTACATGTCTATTAAATAGGTCGATTTGATCTATTTAAAGTTCAACACCCTGTGGTAATTTGTAACCAGCAAAACAATATACACCAAAAAAACACTTAAACACACATACCAACATACCGACAAATACACATGCATGCACACTCCCAATTAAACATGCACGCACACACACACACAGACTGATATTTCGCAAGAGCTCTTTTCATTAATGTTTTCAATAAGCACATACTGGTGACCACCAAATGCACAAGAACCTAACATAATGATACATCATCAAATAAGGAAATGTATATCACATTGAAGTGAGTTGCAAGTATTAAAACGTCTAACTTACTCCAATCAAATCCTGTGATCTAAATTTCCTCTTTCAACTTCCTAATTGTAAATTCTACAATGGTCCATTTATGTATTATTCATCATTATATTATTTGTAAAACACTCTTCAAAACAATTGCTATTTGCACATTAATTACAGTTTCACTTAAATTGTTTAAAAGAACATCTCAACCTAATGACATAAGATCATTACTCAGGATTTTGATAAAATACAGAAGACAAATTCTTCTCACTTCTCATATGTTTCAAGACCTATCAACATTAATTTTCCTCTAACTCTACTGAAATCAATTGCAAGAAATCTGAATCTCTTCTGATTGGATGACGATTATTTAATCAAACGATTTGTGAAAAATTACTATTTTAGCAAGAAACCTTTAATCTGACTTTGTTAAACATATCTCAAAGTTTGCCAATTGACAGCCCTCCATCACTTTATGTAACAGAATTCACTGATATTTTATATAATTAATTACAAAAGTACATAGAAGCAATTTATAATGCCTATTCAACATCTGAAAATTGCAGAAGGAGAGTTCATAACTAGTCGAAAGAAGATAACTAAAGTGATGACAAAAAAGTGTAATTTGGTTACTAATGAAATAATATTGGACATCACATGTGTGTGTGCATTATTTGTAATGATTACTTATTAATTCTATCAGTTCAATAAAATAATATTGTTGTAAAATATCTTCCACCCTATTAACACTTCACCCATCCCTTGAACCCACTTAACAAAATGACATTTGACATTTGAAAAAATTATCAAATTTTTAATTTGTAAATATTCATTTTTTAATTAAAATGAGAATGTATTGATTAAATGTGATGTATTGTTATATTACTTTATATACTTTATACATACAAAAGACAAGCAAAATGTTTTGCTCTGACTGGAACTCATTTGATTGATAAATGGTGGCGCCCCCTGGTGGATAGTGATTGGCACTAACTGACCAGTCAGCATGTGGAAGTTGCCTCCCTCCCCCCTCTCCAAGTTTCAAGTTTCAAGCTCCAAACCTGAGATGTGCGGTTCCCTTAGCACATTCGTTACAGAACTGCTTTGGCATTCATTTGAGAAACCAAAGAAAACTACCAATCAGAGCAGCCAGCTTTTAGAGATCTCTAGGCAGCAGCTGTATTTAACCTAGCTCTTTAGTGTGCAGTGAGCTACTAATTAAAGTCACTGTAGAGACAGCAGCAATGCTGGCTCTGAACTAAACTTCGTCGGTAATTAAACAGACTGAGACAAAGTTAAAAAAAAAAAAATTACTAAACATACTTCTTACAGGAACCTATGCTTTCTAGGTAAAAAAGCTACAGGAAATATTTCTTGTTAATATCAAGAGGAATATGCTGGTGTGTAGTACTAACCCAGCATACATATTCAACCAAAAGAGAAATGTTCTATACGTGACAGTGACGATACACATATTACTATCTTCTCCAGCAAATGATTCTATTAGAGAGGAATGCTTTGGCAGACTTCAAAACAACATTAATGAATACAATTAATCAAATGCCTTTAACACTAGGTTTCTGCAGATTTCAATTACATAAAAAAAAAAATGTATGAAAATCAGAGATGCAGTAAGATTATTATGCAGTAAGTTTAAATCCTCCAGAATTTATATACAAACCTCTCGTTCAGCTTCCTCAATAGCCTTTTTTAGCTTATACTGTTCTAAAATAGCAGCCCGACGCAAACGTTCCTCCTCCTTCTTACGTTCACGCTCCTCTTGACGCAACTTCTGTAAGTCACGTCTTCGCTGTGCTTCCTGTTCCTTGCAAGCTTTCAACTCTTCTTGTTGCTGACGCCTTTGTAGTGACAGCAACATGATGCGCTCCTTTTTCCGTTCCATTTCATCTAAAACAGTCTACAGAGCAAAGACATCATTCACTTAATTCTAATATGATATTGAGGGATCAGAATAAATATTAGACAATTCAACAGAACCTTATCATCCAATGTCATGCGGGAAAATTGAAAATCACGCACACGTGTGCATATGCATGCGCACACACACAAATAGAAACAAAAAAGGGAGAGAAAATAAAAAAGAAAAGAGGAAAGAACACAAAAGAACAGAAAAGAGGAAAGAACACAAAAGAACAGAAAAGAGGAAAGACAAGAAAAGAGAAGAGAAAAGAAAAGAGAAAAGAAGAGAAAAGAAAGGAGAGAAGAGAAGAGAGAAAAGAGAGAAGAGAAGAGAGAAGAGAAGAGAAGAGAGAAGAGAAAAGAGAAGAGAAAAGAGAAGAGAAAAGAGAAGAGAGAAGAGAAGAGAAGAGAGAAGAGAAAAGAGAAGAGAAAAGAGAAAAGAGAAGAGAGAAGAGAGAAGAGAAAAGAGAAGAGAAGAGAGAAGAGAGAAGAGAAGAGAAGAGAAGAGAGAAGAGAGAAGAGAAGAGAGAAGAGAGAAGAGAAGAGGAAAGAGAAGAGAGAAGAGAAAAGAGAAGAGAAAAGAGAAGAGAAAAGAGAAGAGAAAAGAGAAGAGAGAAGAGAAAAGAGAAGAGAAAAGCGAAGAGAGAATAGAAAAGAGAAGAGAGAATAGAAAAGAGAAGTGAAGAGAAAAGAGAAGTGAAGAGAAAAGAGAAGTGAAGAGAAAAGAGAAGTGGAGAGAAAAGAGAAGTGAAGAGAAGAGAAAAGAAGAGAAAAGAGAAGAGAAAAGAGAAGAGAAGAGGAAAGAGAAGAGAAGAGGAAAGAGAAGAGAAGAGGAAAGAGAAGAGAAGAGGAAAGAGAAGAGAAAAGAAGAGGAAAGAGAAAAGAGAAGAGAAAAGAAGAGAAAAGAAGAGAAAAGAGAAGAGAAAAGAGAAGAGAAAAGAAAAGAAGAGAAAAAAAAGAGAAGAGAAGAGAAAAGAGAAGAGAAGAGAAAAGAGAAGAGAAAAGAAAAGAGAAAAGAGAAGAGAAAAGAAAAGAGAAAAGAGAAGAGAAAAGAAGAGAAGCAAAAAGAATAGAAAAGAATAGAAAAGGAAAGAAAAGGAAAGAAAAGGAAAGAAAAGGAAAGAAAAGGAAAGAAAAGGAAAGAAAAGGAAAGGAAAGGAAAGGAAAGGAAAGGAAAAGGAAAAGGGAAAGGAAAGGAAAGGAAAGGAAAGGAAAGGAAAGGAAAGGAAAGGAAAGAAAAGAAAATCAAATTTAAAATGACCACTTCTACAACTTTTCAAAATGTAAGAATGGATTTTCAATGAATGATGGAAGTGGCCTCTTAATAACGTTTACGTGAATATTGAATTTGCACCCTCCATGCTGCGACAAAAAATGTTTTTAATATAAAAAATCCTAAAGTTCAAAGCTTGCTTAGGGCTTGATATCAATAACATTCAAGAACATATTGACAGTTTTAAAAATTTAGACAATTTCTTTGAAAACAGAAAAGAGGAGAGGAAAACAATAGTCTTTAAAAATTAATGTTTGTTGATTTATTGAAAACAGCATTTTTATCAGGTTTAAAATATGATTTTGAAAAAATATGACACGCAGTACCCTACGTACCCTGGATAATGGAGGTCCCATTCTAAGGACATTTTTCTTAGTTCCTTTAAACACTGCAAGTTTCAAGTTTACCTTTAGTGTGATCCAAGTTTCAGCACATAATCTGATACAAAAATGTATAAAAGTCATCATAAGTATCAAAAATATAAGGGCCCAAGACTGATTGACTGTTTCAATGTTCTAGAAAACAGATGTTTTAAGGACATTTTACAAAATAATTATCATTATGAATTAAGTTCTCTGTCATTGTGGGAATACCATATTTACCAGATTTTAAGCCGACCTTTTTTCCCCTTTTTTTGCAGTTCAGAAATTGACCTTCAGCTTAGAACTGGTATCATGTTGCTAGAACATAGTTGACACCAGACATCGTAAAGATCCTAATTTTCGATGGCCACGCAGCCGACATGGTAGAATGCAAAAGAAACTACTTCCATTTGTTGTGTTCAATTTCAAGACACTCGCAAAATCAGAGTTATTCCCTAAGAGCGTTATTGTAAGCACAAATGAAAAAGGGTGGCCTACCGAAGACATGATGTTACTATAGGATCAATTGGCGCGGCATTGTTGCCCTTGCACTTTGTAGAAGTTACGTATCCTCCTTGTTTTGGAGGATCTCTTATGCAGCCCACACTACCGAGGTGGTGAAGGAGTTGAGAGAACAGGGAGCCGACTTGGCAATTATTCCAGGCGGACTAATGTCAATACTTCAACCCCTGGATGTGTGCATCAACAAACCACTCAAAGACAGGTTGAAGACTAGACTAGCTCTTCCAGGACTCTCCAAAGAAGACTGAATGCTCACACCCAAGGGGCACACGAAACAGGCTAGTCTATCGCAAGTGTACGCTTGGATAGATGATCCCTGGAAGTATTTCTAGAGAAGTTGTCATAAGGGCTTTTAAAGAGCCCAATCTCAAATGCCCTTGACAGTAGCAAAGATGACATCCCTTTCATGGACAAAAGTGACAATAGTCAAGTGAGGAATCTGAATTGTATGATGATGACACCTGAGTCAATGATCTCTAAAATGTATAGAAATCAGTGGTCTGAGTGTCTTAAGCATCAAATGTATTTCTTACGTTTAAATAAATAATAATTTTTTTCGTTATTTCATTTATTATTTCTTGGGGTGGACTTATAATCAAGTAAACATGGTAATAAAGACATAGTTCTTGCATATTGGCATTACTTAAAGATAACAGGCTTATGGACACCATTTTAGTTGAATTTTTGGACCTTACTGAAGTCTAAATCATACAAATAGGACAATTCAACGTAGGTTTAATTAAATGTATTCAAATGTGCATGTTATCCACAAATTGGAGTGTGAGGAAATCTCAACAGTGCCACCTAACTTCCACAGAGTTCAGTTACTAGTGAAGTAGCAATTCGAGAACAGATCTGAAACTCTACACAATGTTGCAGAAAAAAGGTAGAAATATGTCAGAAAACTAGTCAACAAATTGAATTATGATTTGAAAAGAAAACCAGGTCAAAACAAACAACACCCCAAAAATACTTTTTGGGCACATATTAAACGGGGTTAAAGAATAGAAGAATACAGCATGAGAAAAGGTCGAAGACTTGGCAAAAATGAAGATAATACCTACGATGTAGAACTCAAATTAAATACAAACTGAAAATAAATTATTTTTCTGAAAATATCTCTTAATTTAAACAGTAATTAACAAGTGACATTTGTTTGTTTCTCTTTTCTTTGGTGCCTGTATTTTGTATAATCATATACTTCAAATTTATAGACTATCAGTCTTCTTTTACATTGTTAATAATCAATGCAAGTATAGAATGTTTCACGTGATAACAGTTCTAGTCTAAACTGTCTATGTGTCTTATGTGTATTATGAGGAAGCATTTGCATTATAACTGTTTCTTCAAAATTCTGGACTTACAGGATCTGGATTGAGAAGCTCTGTCCCAATGACCAGCCCTACACCAGAAGCAGCAGCCTGAGCCTTGGAATCGCTGGTGCCTGGTGTAGAACCCATAGATGAAGGAGTAGGAATATCCGTACGAGCACAAGGTTCCTCTTGGAAGGTCCCAGGTGCAACCGGTTCACTTCCTAAAGGTTCTTCACGTTCTGATAGGAACATGCTCTCATGCTGAGCAACAGGTCGTTCCTAGCACATTAAAGAAAAGAAAAAAAAAAAAAATTAAAAAACAATCAAAACAAAAAACACTTTATTTACCACATCATTTCAAGAATCAATTTCATTGCTCTAAAATCCATGCAGGGATAATGCAGACAGATATAGACTATCGTAATAAAACAATGAAAAGTTTATGTATTTTATTTTTCCAGCAATAAGCACATATCTTACATTGAAGTATTTAGTTTCTATTAGTAATACAGTCTTGTAATTATAAAAGTCCAGACTGTCCTTGCAGTTACTGCAGGTTTCAATGAAGTTCAATATCTAAAAAAATACCTGTTCAACTCCAAATTTTCACTAAACACATTTTGAAAGGATGGAGAAAAAACATTGAGTTCCATGAAATACATGCCACTTTCAAATCTTCCAACTATCGTAAGCATGAATTTTAAAAAAAATATCACGTGCTTGATTTGGTGAAGAGCTTCTTACGAGAGGAAAAGTGTAAGTTACCAGATGTATATATATATTGTTTAACTGTTACAAATAATACAAGGAAGTATGAACTGCTGCACCACTTGTGAAGTTTATATTTATAGCCATTCACACATGTATATACATAATATATACAAAATTTGATAATTACACAATTGAGCAGACATGTTTGATAGAGCACTGCGGAAGGTCATGCATTATTAAACAAGGAAAATCATAATTTAATGATAAAAGTATCTTACCTTTTTGGGAGAAGAGCGTTTCACACGTAAAGGTGGCTTTGGCCTTTTTGGTTGTGCATCATTATCAAAGGAGATATAAAATCCCTTTTCAGTTCCTCCCACACTTTCTCCCCCATCCTGATGGTTCTCAGTGGGAGATGCTACTCGGCCATCTGGCAGCTCGGGTAGATGCTGCTGCAGCTGCTGCTGTTGCTGGTGCTGTTGCTGGTGCTGTTGCTGGTGCTGTTGCTGGTGCTGGTGCTGTTGCTGTTGCTGGTGCTGATGATGGAAAGCCGACCGAGATATACCAGGTCGTGTAGGAGACGGGATTCGATACGTGCGACTTCCACTTGTAATCTGCAACCCCTTTATACTTTGGGCCAGCCCTTCTTCTGTACTGGGTGTACCTGTGACAATGAATGTAAATATTTTACACCCTCAGCTGTAGACACGATATAAGAAACATCACATAGTTATATTTTAAAAATATTTCATTACACTGATTGTCCAAAATAATTGGAAACCTTTCAAATCTATAATCATAATAATGAACCATCACTGCTGGTTGTGGAGTGAGAGCGAGTCTGAGGGAGCGCGAGGGAGAGAGCGTGCGAGAGCAGGAGAGAGAGAGAGTAAGTGAGAGAGTGAGTGAGAGAGAGTGAGAGAGAGTGAGAGTGAGAGAGAGTGAGTGAGAGTGAGAGTGAGAGTGAGGGAACGTTTGAGAGTGCAAGGGTATAAATGCGAGTGTGTGCAGGCACGCTTGGTGGGTATATGTGTGTGTGTGTGTGTGTGTGAATAAATGATTGGGTGCAATAATAGCTGACTACGTGACATGAAACTCAAAATGGTTTAAGCTGAAGTTCTAAATGATTATATTTAAGTCCGTGCCATTCATCAAAATCAGGTTATATTTGCTGTGAGATATTTGTTCCAAATAAAAAAAATAATGAATCGTTCATGTTACTATTTTTGTGAGCTTCAATGCAAAACCGTGTGAAAATTAGGGTCAGAATTTTTCAACACTATTAATCTATGAAGAGTGTATAAATTTATACAGTATTATTACATAATCATATTCTAGGGCAATTCTGAGAACCTCATAGTAGCTACCATTGTGGAAAAAGAAGTTTAAGAAGAGACTCCCTGCACCTTCCACTGTAACTTGTGAGAATTCAAGTCGTGTCAGCGCATCAGCGTTAATGATTTTCAAGAAAGACTCAATATCGCACAAAAATATAGCGGTTTTCCTGTTACATATGTGTAGCATGTTCATAGAAACCGGCTTTGCGAAATTAAAAAAAAAGAATAAAAAATAAAAAAAAAAAAAGTTGTAAGATTATAGAATAGAGAGAATATAATTATTTTTAGATTTTTTATTAAAATTAATAAATTTTGTCCTTAATATTAAGGACATTGTATAATGCCATTAATATTAAGGATTAATATCAATGGTAAATTATTTCATCACTTATAATAACTTATTATACATACAGAACTTCATAAAAAACTTCTTCAGAGTTGGCTTAAATTTACTCTTTATTTTGTGTGTTCTTTGCTTTGTTTAATTATTCACATTCAGTATGTACTTTAATTATCCAAATATAAGTCAACCCTGAATACAAGGCAACCCCCTAATTGTGAAGAGGCTTCCTGAGAACTTTTACTTTCTTGCACTTAAGAAGGAACTTTTTAAACAAAGAAAGTAAAAGTGAAAGTGTAATGCTGAGCGAAGAAACGGTGAAATTTCGGTAGAAAAACCCTTATTAGAGGGCTCTAGTAACAAAAAAGTAGAAAAAAATGTTGTTAAATTTGGAAAAAATATTCTCTAAGACATGATGTAGCCAGAATCTGTGTGTTATGAGTTCTTGATATCGAAAATTCGGCAAAATGTCTGTCCGACAGTCTGTCTGCCTGTCCATTTGTCTGTGAAAAACGCTACTGGCTAAACCATTCCGGCTATTTTCACCATAAGTGATATTCCCCAACTGATCTGACTAATGTAACAGACGCTTGAATTTGAAAGCTGTATTTTAATTTGGGTTGGTACTTTACGTGAAGCCCGTGGAACATTTTCAAAATTTTCAAAAAAAATTTGATTTTGATGAATTTATTCTTTGATAGTCTAAAGGCCATTTAAGAAACTGATGCAGTTCTCATGTTGGTTAAAAACTTTGATTTTTCGAAAACTGAAAAAAATTCAACGTTTTTTTTGCATCTTCCTACAATTATGCTGTGGAAAATAGATTTCGACGGATGTTTTGGGGTCCCCTGATATCAAAACGTATGTACGTACGCTCTCCTGCCTGCCAGTCTGGTGTCTGTGAATACTCCTATCACCTGAACCATGCCGAGGATCATTTCCAAATTGAAGAAACCCATGTCGATCTGGCTCAAGTCGATCTTGGAGATTTTGAAAAGAATTATTAACAGTTTGGGGATACTTTACATGAAGCTCCCTGGACATTCTCAAAATTTTCTCAAAAATGGCACCAAATTTTTTCTTAAAACTTATTGTAAGAATAGAGTAACATAGACCTATAACAGTGGCATAGGTCCGATTTTCATGGTTAACTCTGAATTTATAAAAATTTCAACAGTATGACCTTTTTCGTTTTTTTTCCTCTCTCTTTTCCCCCCCTCCCTACAGCTACAAAATTGAAGATATGATTTTTCATTTAAATAAAATTTGTTCTTTATAATGAATTCTTTTATTAGATCATGTATTTTTTTTTTGAAAAATTTGGCGCAAATTTTCGCGCAATTATACCAGCAATATGTGATATTTAAAAAAATTACAATAACAAGATTTTAAAATATGTAATATTTTTGACTTGCTTCTATTGTCATTAGTATTTATATTAGCAATGATTTGTTTACATTATTATATTTATTAGTGCATGTGCTTTAAATAATGACAACTAAAATTTCTCAAAAACTTGACTATCTTCTGTGAAAACTAGCTCAAAATTCTGCTCTTTCAGGAAAGTTCAAATGCCATTTTCTGAAAAACTGCTTCAAAGTTTTTCTTCAAACTTTTCGAACAGTGTTTTTTTATTATTATTATTGTTATTGTTGTTGTTGTTGTTGTTGTTGTTATTGTTATTATTATTATTGTTATTGTTATTATTATTATTATTATTATTATTATTATTATTATTTTTTTAATTTTAACATTTTTTTAAATTTACACAAATGTTAATTTTTAAAAAATATCTCGCGTAGTTAATTTGCAAGTTTACAGCAATTGCAACCACTATTGTATTTATGAGTTAATGTGTTTCAAATTACTTATAAAAAAGTTTTTCGAAAACGATAAAATTTTCTTTCGAGAAGACCGTCCACTTTTCGAATTTACATTTGGGTTTTACTTTCATTGGTGTTTTATTTTTTTTACTATGCTTAAAATAATATTTACATTCTACTATTACAAAACTGAAAAATTAAGAAAATTTCAAAAAAATGTACTTTGGACAGTGATAGATGGCAGCAGACAAGTGTATAGCTATTTGAGCTAGAAAACTAATACGGAAAGTCTGCAATTCTATGCCACCACTAGCTTTTCTTAATGAAATGTGTTCATCAAAAACGGTTCTTTAAGTAAGGTCAGGTTGAATTTTTTTTGAAAATTGAGCACTTTTTGAGTAATTGAGCATCAAACTTAGTCACTCGCTCTGAAAATCCTGTGCCTCGTGATCGTAATTTTAGAGAAGTTTTGAGGCAGTTGGATGCTACGCAAGTTAGGTGTATGTTATTTATTACATTTATGTTATTTCATTTTAAATTGGATCCTTTAATTGTATTAAATGCGAAAATGAATAGATGAGCAGTTATTATGGGTTGTTGTAACCCATTGTTTTAACTTTGCACTGATAACAGAAGGCGATAATGACGGCTGCCTTTCGTTCGCAGTAATATAAACTAATACTTTTGCATATTTGTAGAATATTGCAATACCATGGTGTTTAATAATTACTATTATATATTTTTCCATCTATTTGGTTTTGCTTGCCAATGCTATCAGTTTCATATCCTTTATTAACGTTTAATTTTTTACTTTCTCGCATACTGCTTACAAAGAATATTGTAAGGCTAAAATACTCATCCAATATGTTCATGAATACACTGCATACCATATAAAATGAATTCAATGTCAATAATGTATTTTCATTTAAAGTTATGAATAAAAAATCCATTGCTTGAAATTATTTAATTTTTGCACCAAATGTTCTACGATTTCAAAGGAGTTTTACAAAACATTATAATCGAGATGCATGAAAACTTTGTCTTGTATTCGGGTAAATACAGTATTAATTTGTTTGATTTTTAGTTTTATCTGTATGATCCACAATATGGTTAAATTTATTGTTTGACGTTTAATTAGAAAGTAATACAATGAAGTAATTGTGGAAACCAAAATTCATCTGAAACTGAAATATAAAAATGTACAGTGCGTCTGACAGAAGAGAAGAGCTGTCCTTTGTTTTAAAACTGTGCAGTGAGGAGGGACGTGTACAACAATGCATATGCACAGATGGGTTGGCGATCTAGTAGTGCTGAGATCTTGGCAGAAGTGAAATCTGGAATTTTCAAATAAAAATTGGTTGGGAGGTGGTAGAATTTCATAGAATGGTGTTCCACAGTAAGGAATATAGTTTGTGAGTGTTTCAATTTCGAGTTTCAAAAAAAATGAATGGTACCCTCGATGAAAAGGCGTAAATAATCACAGCAGAAGAGACGATGCCATTTTAAGGAGATCTGGCCACCAATGAGGTGATGCAATTTTGCAACAATCATTAAACAAGGCCCAGATTGTAAACAACTAAGTAATTATTAGTAATGGTCATTAAAGTTACCCCCCCCCCCCAACAACAAGTGCACTCACGTGAATGAATGCATTTCAAATATGTATGAATGAGTGAGTGAGTGTTATGGAATTTGTTTTTTTCAAGATATGTTGTATTTAAAGGGTAAATTTTATGTGTCATGTTATGTTTTAGTACTATAGAAAGCTGGTGTATACATGGCAGAGTGCAGAATTCACTGTGTAGCATTTTGAAATCTGCCATTTGTCAAAAATTGCTGCTCAAAATGATGGCATTGATGATATTAGCTTATTAGCAGATAATATAAACCCAATGATAGGAGAAAGAACAAAAAGCCAGGTTCCCCTAATCAATACGGTAACATTTCGGTTTCCTGTTCAGGGGAGACTTCGCAAATTAACCCAAAATTTATAAAATTTGTACTGTAGGAGCGTAAACTTGGTGTTACGTAATAAAATCTGTAAACTAATAACAATTTGACTCAGTCAAGTGTGGGGTGAAACAGGAGAGAGGTTAATTAATAGAAATTTTAAATCTCATGTTTATGATCCATTACACTAGTGAAAATGTGAATAAAGGGTGAAAAAATCCTATTGGGAAAAAAGTGCAAAAAGAACAATAAGTAAACAAAGGTTTAAGTAGGTAAAGCAAATAAAGGTGAAAGAGGGGTAAAGGATGGTTAATGTAATTGGCTTCACAATCTTTCTGAATATTCATTAGTTCAATGCCTCACCAATAAAAGAGATGCTCTGAGGCTCCATATCATCGACTGGAGGAGTGGGAATAGGCGCATGCATCACGCCTGATGATGTCCTGTTCTTTTCATCTACTTTAATGTCAGTAGACTCTTGACCCAGCATTTGACTGATGCGTTGCTGCACAGTTGCTGTGCGGTGTACAGGCGAAGCACTGGGTGGAGTGCCAGAATAAGGGCTAGGAGACGCATCTCCAGCTCCATGGTGTAGCTGGAATGACTGATAACCACCACTGCCTGAGGGTGAGGTGCTTGTGACAGGATATGCCACATGATTCACACCCAAGCTGTGATGCTGAGGTGGTGTCTGCGACATGCCAGTGGGTGGTAAGTGGTGGTGATGGTGGTGATATGCATGCGACTGCTCACCATTGTGGTATCGCACATCACCATTACCCGCATGTTGCAAAGGGTATGCACTTCCATGGGGATCATGCAGCATGAAACCACTGGCAGGCTGGCAGTTGTAGGACGCTGGTTGCTGTTTTTGATGCCTGGTGAGGGTAATATGTTATATTACAAAACAATACTTGAAACACTGCACAGTACTAAAATTTTTAGGCAATAAAACAAAGAATAGTATTTTGAGGAAAGGAAAACAAAATGGAACATTAAAAACCAAAGTCTTGGAAATTTACTTTCACATAAATGGGAAACATGTCCATTACTCCTAACTGGGAATTTCTTCACTAAATTTACTTGTAAATAACAGAAATGAGAGAGAGGGAGACAGGGACAGAGAGAGGGACAGAGGGGGAGAGAGAGGGTGAGAGGGGGTGAGAGGGGGAGAGAGGGG